GCGACCTCGGAAATCTTTTAATTCGAACAAAATATATCTTTTATACCCACGGAAATTTTATCTGTCCCCCCCCCCTCCTTTCCCTTCGCAACCACGTTAGTCTGAAAAAGACCAGCCCCAAAGAGTTTCCTGCGTCTTGGAAGTTACACACAAACACGCACACACCCGGTTCACTCGCTCGGTTGGTTGGTTTTATATCCCGCCTCGCCTGTCCTGGATCGCAATGAATAGAACAGAATTCTTTATTGGTCAAGTCTGATTGGACACACAAGGAATTTGTCAATGCAGGAACGGGGCGAGTTCCCACCACGCGCACCTCCTCCCCCCCCCCAAAGTGACGACAACCAACGCCTGTTTTAACTCTTCAAGGGTTTTTTTTGTTGTTGTTGTTTTAAACAACCTCGGCGCGAGCCTCGCGGCCTTCCTCTCTCTCTCTCGCGCGCGCGCGCGGCCGAAGCGAGCGAACGCGAGGAGAAAGGGGGAAAAAAAACAGCCGGCGAAACAGTTAAAGCCATAGAGCGGCGGGGTCTAGAGCGGTGTCGCCGAAGAGGCGCCCAGCTCGGCCTCTCTCTCTTTCCCCCCACCCCCTCCCGTTCCGAGAAAGAACGCGAGGCTGCAGCCCGATCGGGAAAAGGTAAGGCGCATGGCAAAAGCAAGGCGACAATAATAATAATAATGCTAGTAATACTACTACTACTAATAATAATAATAGCGGCGGGCAGGGCGAGAATAATGGGGAAAGCATTGCCGGGGTGGGGTGGGGGGTTTGCAATGCAAAGCAAATGAAACAACTGCAAATCAGTTGGGGGGGAAAAAAAGTAATGCGGAAGCGGTGAACAAATGTTCGCGGCAGTGCAACCTCCTTATCGTGTGGATACATATATAATATATATTTATGTATTTATATATATCGCTGGTCGTCCCCCCCCTCCCGGTCTCGAGTAAAGTCATTGAACCGGGCTTTGGTGGGCTTGCAAACCGGCAGTTTAAAACCCCCGCTGGGGTGTTACCACCAGGCCGTAAAAGTCAATCGGTGGAGAAAGAAAGAAGAAAGAAGCCTTTTCTCTCCCCACCACCTTTGAAAGGGCCTGATCTCTCCCCGTCCCCCAAACAACAACAGCGAAAGACAAAAGAAGAAGGGAGCTCTGGTCGCGATCTTGGCCGGACTTTGTATGGAAAGGGCCTCTTCACCCGGGAAAGGCCCCGGATCCTCCGCAAGGGAGTCCCGCGGGTGGGGTGGGGATCCTGGGGGGGTGGGGGAAAAGAAAGGACGCTGGAGGAAAGGACGCTGGAGGGGGGGACCCTGGATGGGCGGCCCACGTGGCTTCTTCGACCCAGCTCGGAACTCGGCCCGTTTATTCAACTTTTAGGGAGTCCCTTGAAAAGCAACCCCTACACAATCCCATCGAAGGGAGGAAATATGGCTTTAATTCAACGGGGTGATTTAATTCCGCAACTCTTAAAAGAGAGATTGAAGAGATAGAAAAGGGGTCTTTTCCCTTCCTTAACAACATTGGGGGGGGGGGCTCCGTGACTTCTCTGTAACACACACACACACACAAAATGTTTCCTTCTTCCTTTTCTTTTCCCTCTCCTGGAACGGCAAGGGAGGAGAACAGCAACTATGGAGGAACAGGAACTTGTGGTGCACAAGGAGGAGATGGTGGAAGAAGAGGAGGAGGAGGAGGAAGAAGAAGGAGGAGGAACTGAGAGAGAGGAAGGGGAGCCCATCGTGGTCCAAGTAAAGACCATTGAGGATTTTTTGAACAGGGGTAGCGTGCCCCACATCAAGACAGAATCGGAGGAGGAAAGCCACCGATATTGGGACACGGAATGGCACGAATTCTTGAAAAACGTGGCCTGGCTGTCTCCGGGCCCGTCTCCGCCTCCCTCGGAGGAAGATGTCCGAGGTTTCCAGGCCTCCTTGGGGAGAGTCAAAGAAGAGGCGCGGGAGGGGAGCTCGGGAGAAGCCACACGAGATCCGAGCGTCCGCGGAAAAGCCTGGATAGGCAGAAAAAAGCTGGATTCCTGCCGGAAGATGAAAGAAACGCTGGAGAAGATGGGGATGGAGAGACAGTGGCCCCTGCATCTCACGCAGTTCTGCCCCCAGGAGGTGGAGAGGGCCCGGGTGAGAATCAAATCCCTAAAGGCTGAAAAGAGTGGGCGGGGGGGGGGGTATGGAGGAGGAAGGAGGAGGGGAATACAAAGGTGGTACAAGAGGCCAGAAAAATGATTAACCTGTGAAATTGTGTTACTAATCAGTTGTACCAGTAGTAGCAGAATTCAGAATTGGGATTTTGGTTCTGTTTGGACTGTGTATGTTGGTGAGAAAATTAAGCTTTTCATTGTTTTATTGCTGTACTATGCAAGTAGTCCTTGATTTACCACGGCTCGCCAAGTTAAAATGGCACTTTAAAAAAGTGACTGGTGATGGTTTTTCACACTTAAAACAACCGTTGCGGTAGCCCCATGATCAACATGATCCAAATTCAGATCATGATTCATATTTAATTCATTTTTGGGCAATAGTCATAAACATGAATCATGATCTGATGGCTGTTAAGCGAATCTACGTTAATGATTACATGATTCCCTCTCCAACTGTCATAAATGGAGAAGCCAGATTAACTTAACAACCGTGTTACCATCTTAACTGAAGTGATTCACTTAACTGAGGCAAGAAAGGTTGTAAAATGGGGCAAAACTCACTTAAGAAATATCTCACTTAGCAACAGAAATTTTGGGCTCAATTGTGGTCTTAAGTTGAGGACTGCCTCATATTTTCTTTCTCACTTTCTTTTTCCTTCCCTTAATTTCCTAATTTTGTTTTTCTTTGTATTTTATACATTGATAAAACAATAAAAAATCAAAGAGGTACGATAAGTAAAGGACTATCTCTATTTGGGAACAGTTGCTTACTGAGGTAGCAGCTAAATGAGAAGTAGCTATATTTTGTCTTGTGAACTCAAGATTATTTTATAAAAAGCCAGCCAAAAGTTTGTATCTGAAGACGTCATCTCCTGTTTTGCAGGAAATTGCCCAGAATGAGGTGCAGCCACTCCCTGTTTAGCAATTACTTCGTTTTAATGACCATTCAGAAATAGGATAGCACAGGTAGTCCTCGGCTTACAACAGTTCATTTAGTGACCATTCAAAGTTACAACCGCACTAAAAAAGAGACTTATGACTACTTTACATACAACTATTGCAGCATCCCCAGGATCATGTGATCAAAATTCAAATGCTTTATAATTGACTCATATTTATGACAATTGCTAATGTCCTCACATTTTATGATCTCCTGATAAACAAAGTCAATTGGAAAGCCAGATTAACTTAACAACCATGTTACTAATTTACCTGTTGGAGAGATCCACTTAACAATTGTGACAAGAAGGATTGTAAATTGGGGCAAAATTCACATAACAAACGTCTCACTTACCAACAGAAATGTTGGGACTCTCTTGCATTTGTAAGTAGAGGACTACCTGTAATACCTAATTAATTTTGTGACCGTTATGGGCATTTACAACTTCACATCTTCACAGTCTCTCAGTCACGTGTTTGCTATTAGAGCTAGCAACACATATATCCCGCCCTTATTTTTATTTGCTTGTTTACATGTTGATATGTTTATATCCCATACCAAGCTGCCTGCAAAGAGAAAGAACGCCAATACACCAGAAGGAATAAGAAAGAAGCAAAGAAAAGTCATCAGTCTCAATTTGAAGATGAAGATCATCAAAGCGTATGCCGATGGGAAGAAAGTGACTAATATAGCTCGAGAAGAAGGCCTGGCCCATTCCACCATCTCTGCCATTTTGAAGGACAAGGAAAGGATCAGAGAGGCCATAAAAGGATCATCGGGAATGAATGTAAGTATAACAAGGCAGCGAAAAGGCCTCATCCACGAAATGGAGAAACTCCTCATCCTCTGGATTGAAGATCAGATACAGAAGAGGCTTCCGGTGAGCCTTGTCCTCATTCAGAATAGGGCACGCAGCATTTTCTCCACACTGAAAGAGCGAGCAGGCGAAGAGTGCACCGAAACCTTCACGGCCAGCCGTGGCTGGTTTATGCGATTCCAGCAAAGGTTTCGTTACCAGAAAACACACGTGTCAGGGGAAACTGCCACTGGTGACGAAGAAGTTGCCAAACGTTTTCTGAATGAACTTGATCAGATCATAGCAGAAGGGAACTATTTTCCCGCCCAGATATTCAGCATGGACGAAACTGGGTTGTACTGGAAAAGAATGCCAGAGCGAACCTACATACACAAAGAGGCCCAGGCAATGCCTGGGTGTAAAGCATTCAAAGATAAAGTAACTGTACTATTGGGCGGAAATGTTGCTGGATTCAAGCTGAAGCCATTTGTAATCTTCAAATCTGACCACTCCTGTATGTTCAAAAACTTTAGCAAAACCTCACTGCCCATTTATTACCGACCCGATCCTAAGGCCTGGATAACACCCATTCTTTTTGATGATTGGTTTATGAATTGTTTCATTCCCCAAGTAAAGGAATATTGTTGGCAAAAGGGGATTCCGTTTAGAATTCTTCTGCTCTTAAGCAAAGCACCTGGATTTCCCCCAGATCTCGGCAGTCTCCACCCTCATATAAAGGTAATTTATCTACCCCAAAACACCTCCGTGCTCCTACAGCCTATGACCCAGGGAGCTATCTCAGCATTCAAGGCCCACTATTTGCAGGAAGTATTTGCCAAAGCCTTAGCCACAATGGAAAATGAGAGTATAACACTGAGCGAGTTTTGGAAAAGCTACAATATCCTGGATTGTATTGAAAACATCGTAGCAGCCTGGCAGAATGTTAGCGTGAAATGCATGCAAGGGATTTGGAAAAAGTGCTTGAAATGTTTTGCTGCTCTTGCAGATAATTTGGAGGAATTTAACCAGCACCAAAATTTAAACGAAATAAATAAGAACATTTTGACGCTCACAAAATCCCTCGATTTGGAGGTTGACGCTGAAGACGTGCAAAGTTTGATAACTTACACGGAGGGAGAGCTTTCCAACGAAGATTTAATTGAATTGAAAGAAGAACTGGAAGAGCAGAAGGTGGTGGAAGAAGAAGTTGAAAAAGCAGAAAAAAAAGAAGAACGAAAAGAAGAACGAAAAGAAGAAGTGAAAAAAGTTGTAGAAGTTCAGCCCAAAACATTCAGTCTGAGAAAATTGGCTAGCGTTTTCTCGGGTGTTAACAAAATTTTATCAGAATTGGAAAGTATGGATCCAGATGTGGAACGTTTTAGACGGGTACACTGGGAAATGCGTGAAATTTTAAAGTGCTATCGGGAAATATACGAAGAAAAAAGGAAAGAAAGTGTGGAAAGCAGACATAGTGGGTTCCTCAAGAAAGTTATTTCTTCCCCAGTTCCAGTCCCCTCCCTCTTACCGTTCCGATCGACAGTAATAGAGCATCTGGATGATCCTCAACCATCAACTAGTTATGCCAGGGGATCTGATGTTCCTGAAAACTCGGAAAACCATGAATCTTTCAAAAGATATAGATCCGATTTGATGTTTACAGGTATTGTAATTTTAAAATATGATTTTGTAGTCTTTTTTTTTAATTATTATTTGTGGGGGGGGACTTTTTTGGTGTCTCCAAGTCTGTTGACTTGGACTGGCACCAATAAAGGAGACTATTTGTAGCTCAGAGTTGAAATGAGGGGTGCTCTCTGAGCGTGGTTGTTACTTGTTTGTTATTACTGCACTGATGAGGTTACCTAGTTTGGGCAATGAAATGTCTGCAAGAAAATAACCAAGCTCAGAGACCATCAAGGATCCTTCATTCTCGGATTGAGCCTGCCATTTTCTTGGCAAGATTTGTTGTTTAGTTCCTAGGGCAGAACTAGAATTCAGATTCTCTTGCTTTTTTAGCCATGGTGGTCCTTGGATTAAGACTAGTTAGTGAAGTGACTATTCTAACTTGGGGTGGTACTGAAAGAAGGGACTTAAGACTTGTCCTTGGAGTTCTGGTGATTGTAGTGTTCCCACAACTATGTGATTACACTTTCTACCAGCTTCCCACAACAAAGTCAATGGGGAAGCTGGTAGGAAGCTGGAATTTGCAGTCACATGAGCTCCTTACTTAACATCAGCAAGCTGGACTGCCAAAATTGCTGTTGTTGAGCAGCACAGTCGTGACATCTGGTGCCGTGGTAAGCTGAGCATTATCTGTAAAACCAAACTGGCTCTCAACACCAATCTAAAATTTTGTACTTAACATATCAACTTTTCATGCACTTAGTTTCTTTTTAAAAATTGCATAATGTTCCCTTTTCATACTAGCATCTCAGTTGGAGTTGGTCGTTATGCTGTAGAGTTGCAGTCAATTGTTTTCTGCACTTCTGGGCCATTTCATCTACAGTTGGAGTTGGTCGTTATGCTGTAGAGTTGCAGTCAATTGTTTTCTGCACTTCTGGGCCATTTCATCTACAATCTCATTACAAAATGGTGGCCCAAACGAATTCAGTGCTGCTAACCACCTTGACAGAGCTGACTGAGGCTACTTCCTTTCCTTTGTCATATTAGTTGTAGAAGAAATAAAAGTATTTTTATTAACGGTAAAGGTTCCCCTAGTCATTCCCGACTCTAGGGGGCAGTGCTCATCTCTGTTTCAAAGCCGAAGAGCCAGCGCTGTCTGAAGACGTTTCCGTGGTCATGTGGCCGGCATGACTAAACGCCGAAGGCACACAGAACGCTGTTACCTTCCCACCCAAGTGGTCCCTATTTTTCTATTTATATTTTTGCATGCTTTCGAACCGCTAGGTTGGTAGAAGCTGGACAAGTAACGGGATCTCACTCTGTTATGCGGCGGTAGGGATTTGAACCGCCAAAACTGCTGATGTTTCTGATCGACAAGCTCAGCGTCTTAGCCACTGAGCCACCACATCCCTTTGTATTTTTATTAGGGGCATGCAAATTGCATTTATAAGTACTCCACAATTGGAACCATCCAATTTACAACCATGTGGTCATAAGTTGTAGGAGTTGTGAATTGAGGCATTCACATAACTGGACAAAATGTGGGTTTTAAAAAAAAACTTTTTTTTGTAGTGTCATTAAATCAAATCACACAGTCCTTCAGCAAATGGCTTGGATGTTAAGTACACCCCTTATTCTGAGTGGGAACCTTTTGTCAAAACCCAGCAAAACTGTGGGGAAAACATGTCAGATTATAGCCATGTGATCAAGATGCTGCAACCTGTCACAATGATGAGCCCATTACCAAGCAGCCCAACCAAGTGCCAAGAGAGCCCCACAACATTTTACTGTGGCCAGAAGTGCTTTACATAAAATGACTGGTTGTAAGTCAAAAACAACTCGTTTTCTAATTCTGACTTATTTTGTGATCTATTGGCAAATACATACTTCAAAATTGACTCTAGAAGAGTAACTTTTGTGCATTAAATCTCCAAATTGGAGCCCCTCTTCCCAGCTGGTTTGAGGGTTACTGGTTTAAGCCTAGGGCTTGTTTTTCTTGAATTACAAGAAAATTCCTTTTCCTTTTCCTTTTTTTTTCCAGTCATCCCAAAGAATACGATGCTAAAATCTCCGAAACAGGAAGAAGAGGCCTTTGAGATTGTAAAGGTGAAGATTCCCATGGATATAAAGCAAGAGAGTGACGGTGAAGCCAACTAATTTGGTAAGGATGCAGATTAGTCAATCATTGGAAACGTTCATGGGGTGCTTTTGAGCCCAGATGCTCTCTTTTTGAAGCCCAGGGAAAAATGGTTTCAAAATCCATCTTGCAGAACTGCATCGACCATGGTGCAGTCTTTCACATTTGATGGTTCACCAAGCCAAATGCCATTTCCTGGAGAGGAAAATTGTCCCAGTTTCCATCGTAGAATTTTTGATTCCTAGAATCTTTGGTTGAAAGGGTCAGATTGCACAGGATGGGGAAGACCTGACTCCTAGAAAAAACAAGACTGTAGAGACTTGCTGCCAGTTAAACGCATCATATTGGACTAGCTGCCCCCTAAGTTCCCATCTTCTGTCTGGTGGACCTATCACTTGATGGATCAATTATGTGCATCAACTGAATGTTGTCTATTAGCAGCCACATAGATCTTCTCCGTGGCAAGATCTATAACCTCTTGGTAAAGCTGATAGATTCTTACATTGGGAGGAGGCCCGGAAGTCCAAATAGTTGCGTAGGATAGGAATCAGAGGTGATATTCTACCGATTCGGACTGGATCGGCCAAACTGGTAGCAGAAATCGTGGGTGGCCCCGCCCAGTTGCCCCAGCTCTACGGCATCCATTTAGGCCCTTTTTTTCACCAAAAGCTCATGCGCGGAAGGCTCTGTGCGTGCACAGAGATGTGCATTCTCATATTTGTGAATCAGTAGGGAAGGTAAGTCAATACCACCGCTGGTGGGAATCCCAATTCAGTCACCCCACCCCCACAGCTATTTACTTTCTGCCTGATCTTAAGGAAGGGGAGCCTTCCACTCTTCTAGCCCACTGCTTTATCTGTCCTTTTGCACAGATTGATGAGGAATGAAGGATTCTGGGAATTGAAGTGTAGCCATCTAGGGAAGGCTGAGCTTAGTTATAACCTACTTTGATTGGCTTATACTGTTGCATGTACCAAAGCCATCATGGCTGTACATTGTTAGTGAGTAAGTCCACTGGTGTTTAATAAGAAATATATTTCAATAAATCAGTGGCTTAATCCTAGAAGAGGATGTTATTAATGATGAGGTCCTTCCAAACTAGAATAGAATACAATAGAATTCTTTATTGGCCAAGTGTGATTGGACACACAAGGAATTTGTCTTTGGTGCATATGCTCTCAGTGTATATAAAAGAAAATATATATTCATCACAAATCATAAGTACAACACTTAATGATAGTCATAGGGTACAAATAAGCAATCAAATCATATTAGGAAACAATCAATATAAATCGTAAGGATACAAGCAACAAAGTTACAGTCATACAGTCATAAGTGGGAGGAGATGGGTGATAGGAACGATGAGAAAGTTAATAGTAGTGCAGACTTAGTAAATATTTTGACAGCGTTGAGAGAATGTTGCAAGCTACGGTGGTAGTTAAAATATTAGTGAGTCCATTCATTCTGTTTAATTTTTAAAAAATTTAATAAATTGGTGGCTTAGTGACATGTGAACTGTTCTCTATTGCTCTAGAAGAGAGTCTTCTTGATGCTGAAATCCTCCCGAGCTGGGGTCTTCAGATAGTGTTGAAAACCATCAAATGAGCATGATTGAATTTAGGATTTCTTAGATCAAGCAGGAGGGGAAGATGAGGTGGCCTTTAGAGACAAGGTCAATTGGAAGAGGAAAGAGGAGGCATGAGAGGAGACCCAGGAACACAAGAACTCACCGCAGACGTTGTTTGTAAATACATTGTGGGGAGAGAAAAGCTACATAAATATATTTTCCTCTTTCTCCCAGAATATGAACTGATATTAAAAGAGAAGACTTTCCAGGTGGGAAGATCTGAAGAAATAGACATTTGCAAGAGTTTGGAGGGAATCAAAACCTTGTATTTCTGGGGTTCTGGGGTTAAATGAAAAGTGAATAAATCCACCGGGAGCACAAAGGCATTTAGGAAAGAAAGCCAGTGAAGCCTGAAGATGATGATGATCAAAAGTCACAAGAACCAATTTCCAGCGTGGCTAAAAATGAAATAAAATTCGAAATTCAGAGGAGCCAGAGATGGTGTGCAACCCACAGTGTTCCAGCTACTACACATCTTCAAGGATAAATTGCATAAACACTTACACTGTTGGAAAATTAACAGCAAGCCTCCGGTCATTCCGCAGGGGAGCACTTCCTCAGCAAGAAAAAAAAGGATATTATTTGCTCACAATATGGGAAATTTTGGTTGGAAAACAAACCTCATGAAGAACGCAAGATCCACACAGCAAAGAAGCCATATAAATGTCCAGACTACGGCAAAAACTTCATTGGTCAGATGCCCTCATCAGAGACAATGAATGCTTCAAGTGTTGAAGAAGCTTCCGGATCAATTGCCACCTAAAGCTCCGTAAAAGGATGCACACGGGTGAGAAGCTGCACCAGCGCTTGGAAAGCTTCGATGAGAGAGCAAGTGCAAGAGGACCCACACGAACGAAAGCCTTACAAGTGCTCCGAAGGTGGCAAAAGCTTTCGGACCAGCTCCCAGTTGAAAATACACAAAAGGACACTCACACTGGCCTGATGCCATATCTGTGCTTAAGACTACAGGCACTGATAACGATCCCCCTGAGGGTCAACACAGTAGAGAGACTGTACACAGGTGCCCGAGTGTGGGAAGAGCTTTGTTTCTAGCTCACATCTCAGGAAGCTTAATATATAGTATACATCGCCAAGAAGCTGCATAAATGCTCCTACTATGCGAAAAGCAGTAGTAGGAAATCCCAACTTGGTGGTCCACGAACAGATTCATATCAGAGTTCTTCCACGTTTTCATAAACACATCCACCTACGAGGAACATCCGAGAGGGGCACAGTTGTTGTTCAGGTCTAACATGCAGTCTCAGAGAGAGTGATAATGACATTAGCATTGGAGTAAAACAACAGACAGCTAAGAGTCAAGCACAAAGGGGGCATCGGTGGCTTTTAAACATATTGATACATTAAAAATGTTTTAAAGAAGTCCTTGTTTCACACTGAAGTTCTTTATGCTCTGGGATTGCAGGCAGGTTAGAAATAACCTTCCCCCCCCCCCCACTCCGAAATCACTCCGAAGAGATTTTTGAGCTGAGATTAGAAAACAATAGATTATCTGTAAGGGCTGTTGCTGTGGGGGGTGCGACTCCTTGGTGAATTTTGGCCTCTGGAGATTTTAGGAAAGGAGCTACAGCCTAACAATATAGTACAGGGATGGGTAACCTTTTTGTCCTCGCATGCGTGCACGACAGCATGTATGTGCATGCCCACATCCATAATGCAATGTGTGTGCGACACTCCCCGTACACCCTGCCTCCCCCCCATACCCTGTTTTGGCCCAGCGGGCTTTGCTGAAACCTGGGGAGGGGAGGAACACCACAACCCTCCCCCCCCGCCTGTGGCCTGTTTTGGGCCCAGAAGGCCTCCCTGAAGCCTCCTGGGACTGGGGGAAGGAGGGTGGGGGAACATTGCACCCCCCCTCACCTGTGGCCTGCCTCCCTGAAGCCTCCTGGGACTGGGGGAGGGAGGGAGGGCGGGGGAACACTGCACCCCCCTCACCTGTGGCCTGTTTTGGGCCCAGGAGGGCCCCCTAAAGCTTCCTGGGACCCAAAACAGACCGTGAGGGGGAACGCAGCATCCTCCCACACTCCCCCTGTCCTCATGCATGTACGCATGATCCCCCCACCCCCCCATGCATGTGCACGCATCTCCCGCATGTGGCAGAGACCCAAATTTCAGCTGGCCGGCAGGAGGTGCATTCATATTTGTGGTGGAACTGAGCTGGGGGACGGCTTGCATGCCCAGAGAAGGCTAAGCGTGCCACAGGTTCGCCATCACAGTTATAGTGGAAAAACAGGGTGTTTTGGGTGACAAAAACAGGGCTGTTCTCAAAGTGCCCTCAGGCCTATACCTGTCCTTCCACCTTCAGATTTCACCAAGGCCTGCTCTACTTGCCACTCCTGTGATTACCACTTTAATCCAATTAAATAAAATCGATCAATCCTATGATAAGATTGCCGCTCTGTGTCTTTGGTAGTCACTTGCTGTTTTACATTTGTCAATGTGAACAATTTATATGGCTGCCCTTCTCATAACAGTGACTTCGGGCAATAGGACCAGAGTTAAAATGAAAAATAATCCAGACCAGTGTTTCAGTAGATGAGAATATCTGTAGTTCAGGTTTGAACTGTGTAGCCCTTGGTGCCCTCTGAGGCTGCCTGTTTGCAGATGTTTCATTACCCAACTAGGTATTCTACCCAGGAGAATACCATACCCCACAAACGCTAGCCAGACAAGCTACTGCATTGAGCCGAGGTGGCGCGGTGGCGCAGTGGTTAGGGTGCAGTACTGCAGGCCACTTCAGCTGACTGTTATCTGCAGTTCAGCGGTTCAAATCTCACCGGCTCAAGGTTGACTCAGCCTTCCATCCTTCCGAGGTGGGTGAAATGAGGACCCAGACTGTGGGAAAAGCTGAGTCAACCTTGA